ACTCTGCCTGCCTACCTGATCACCCCTAACCACGTGCCTGCCTGCCTGATTGCCCCTAACCACCTTTGCCTCCCTGCCTGATCACCCCTAACCCCTCTGCCTGCCTGCCTGATCACCCCAACCACTCTGCCTGCCTGCCTGATCACCCCAACCACTCTGCCTGCCTACCTGATCACCCTTTAACCACTCACTTGCCTGCCTGATCGCCTCTAACTGCTTGCCAGTCTGCCTGATCACCCCTAACCATCTCTGCCTTGGCCCTTGCTGCAGCGGTTTCATCCTGAAGGTCGTTTGACTGTCTGATCTAATTAGAATATTGTGCTTTTATTATTATAGATACTATTTTTATCCTAATTATACAGCTAACAAGAGACAAACTGTTAAGAAACTTGTCCAAGGTTAGGATGCAATCTGGGCAGTTTGGCACCAAAGCTTATGCTCCTAACCATTATCTCACTTATTTAATTTTTGTCTCTTGTATTAGAATTAAAACTCCATGCAGACAGGAACCATATTGCTGGTGTTTTCTTCTGTGCCTACACAACAGATACATGGTAACTATGTATTGAATAAAATCAATGAATAAACCAAGTGACAGAAACAGTGGGCCAAATTATGTATACATATAAGAAATAATTTGGGTGAAATATTGGCAAGTTTTTTTGCAGACTTTGGTGCTGGCTATGTACTAAATGTCCGTAAATTTATATGTTGCTCCTCCTCAGATTCACACCTTGAAGTCCTAAGACCCCAGCGCAGCCTCTAAGGAACTAAATAAGTTAAAGGAGATCATAGTTGGGGAGCCCTAACCAAACAGTTAGGTGTCCTTATAAAAAGAGGAGACACCAGTGTGTGTTTTCAGTTCTCTCTTTCTCTTTCTCTTTCCCTCTCTCTGTCTTTCTCCCCACCTCTCTGGTCTCAGCATGCACTCAGGAAAGGTCATGTGAGGACTAGTGAGAAGGTGGCCCTCTGTAAACAGGAAGAGGCTTTTATCAGAAAACAAATCAGCTTGAACCTTGATCTTGGACTTCTAACCTACAGAACAGTGAAAAAACAAATTTCTGTTGTTTGAGCCACCCAGCGCATGATGATTTGTTATGGAAGCTGGAGCAGACAAGACAGTGATCAGTAGGGTGAAGGTGGGTGGTGAAGGAGAGGTTTTTAAGCCTAGAAGACTAGAGGGACAGTGGTGCCAGTATAACTGGGGTAAAAAACCCAGCAAGAGGAAGAGGAAAGATTGGCTATGGTTCATGGAACAAACAACACTAATTTTTCTGAACTCAAGGTCTACCTCAAACACAGAAATACAGAACTTAGCTATTTAAAACCACTTATTCAATAAATGTGTATTCATCCCCTCACCATGGTGACTGCTGTGCTTATCCTGAGAAATCAGAGTAAATAAGAGTCATTCTCTGCCTTCAAGGAACTCACAGTCCACTGGGGAGAAACATTGCTCCCTTTTGTAAAGCTAGCATGCTGGCTGGAAGGACCATTATTCCTTTCCCCATTTTCTAAAGACCTGGGGAGCTATAAAGGTAAAATCCCACATGAATAGGGAGAACTGGATTGGAATAAGGGCCTTGGAGTATAAAAGCTGAGTGATGATCATAGGCAGTGTTAGGGTTCTCAGTTATAACCGCGGAGTTGTTTTAAGATCAGAGAAGAAAAGGTAGGTAGACATGTTTTGCCAAAGGCAATATGCATGTTAATAATAATAATAATAATAATAATAATAATAATGATTATAAAAGCGACATTTCTCACCTGCAGAAACTAGAGGTGAATCAGCCATAGGCAACAAGTCAGAGGGAAAAAGGCCAGCCTTGAACCCTGTGGTGGCAGGAGTTCGGGGATGGTAGGGGGAGTCAGACGGAGGTCGTGGGACATAGAACAGGCTTTTGGGGTCCTATAGACCTAGCTCAAATCACAGTCCAGACAGTTATTAGCTATGGGAAATTGAACAGGTCATATAATTAATCCGAGCTTTAGTTTCTTCATCTGTAAGATGGAGTTAATAATACCTACCCTGTTCTGAGTATGTAAAGGGCTTGGCATGGTGTCTGGCACAGTTGTCACTCAATTAATGGTAACTCTTTTTCCTATTAAAATATTACCATTTTCCTCTCCTATCTCCTAAGGGGTTTGTGTATGTAGTGAAGTAACTTGAGATGTCAAGAAGTGAGGGAAATGGAAGGGCTTTTATAGCTGACTTTAAAAAGTCATTTTTAAAAGTTAAAAAAAAAAAAGAGTAGTCCAACTCAGCTTTCCTCTCCTAACCTATGGTGCAAACATAACTCTTATAGAAATTAGCACTGTGTTATATAGCTTGGAGCCACAGAACACCCACCTTGATAATTATTCCTGGTATTTAGTCTATCCTAAATAAATCTATCCATCACCCTTAATAAGGGCTCTCCAAAGGCAATGCTTCTCAAACTTTAATGTACACAAGAGCCAGTTGAGGGCTTGTTAAAATGCAGGCTTATATTCTGTGGATTTAGAATGAGGCATGAAATTCTGACTTCCAAAGCTCCCTGGCAAGGCCCAGGCTGCTGGTTCAGGGACACACTTTGAGGAAAGAGCAAGGCTCTGAAGGGACGTGGATGTATCTTCCTTGGCGTGGTGTTCACTGCAATGGCTGCTCCTCTTTTGCAATCTATCTAAATTGCAAACTAACTGCTAGAACACCAACAAGCTCTCTTCAGACCTGATGTAGAAATTCTGCAACAGGACTCATTTCAGATCAATAGCGACTTTTTTGATTAGCCTACTCTGTGCAAGGCACTGTGTAAGGTGCCACGGATACACAGGTTAGTAAGACACAGTTCCTGCTTCTGAGGACTGTCCTCATTCTAACACTGCATGCCCGGGTAGACTAACTTACTGAGGGCGGTCTTACTGTCTTCCCTATTGCTTACTACTACGTAGATTCTCAATAAATACTAAATGAATGAGTCAATGAGTTCACAGGAGTTTCATTAAAAATGTCTTCTCAAAGCACATGACAATGGGACACTCTTAAGCTGCACTCTATCCTAAGTATCACATGTAAGAAGTGGCTAAGTTACCGTAAACTGAGGCCGATAGGCTGAGTACTAATACAATCTGCCTGGTATCCTATAAAAAGAGATTAGAACACACAGAGGCAGAGACTCCAGAGATAAAAACAGAGCAAGAAGGTGGCCATCTGCAAGCCAAGCAGAGAGGTCTCAGAGGAAACCAAACCTTGATCTTAGATTAGCAGCATCCAGAACTGTGAGAAAATACATTTCTGTTGTTTAAGCCCCGCAATGTGCGGTATTTTGTTATGGCATCATTAACAAACTTATACAGATTTTCACAGCTTTTATGTCCAATTCAGACTCCCTTTTGTAGGGCACAGAAAATGGAAGAATAATTCTAAGAGCGGATGGATGAACCCAAGTGCAGTGGGAATGAGTCTTGGAAAAACTGGAGGGAGACCGACAGAAGAAGGTGAGACAGTAACCTAACTTGGGCTAAAACAGCTGCTACACACACACACACACACACACACACACACACTTCCTCCCTTCTCATAATACCAACACAAAGTTTAGGGCTATTCTCTCACCAAATTATATACTGAAAACAACTTTTTTACTTCTTTCCCCCTTGATACCAGAAGGAAGACCCCAGGTACCTCTCTGTATGCGAAGAGCTAGAGATGATAAGGCAATGAAACTGAATTTTTGACAAACAAATTAAAACACACACACAGTCAAATGAGATTCCTGCTAGTCACAGGGAAGCTACATTTGAAGCCTGATTCTAAAGTCAGGGAATTATTATTTTTTATTTAGCTTAGTTTGTAATAAACATGCCAACTCGTAAGTATAGATGAGTGCCTCCTTCAAAATAGTCATTCTAGAATCTAGAGGGTTCTACCTTTCTCTATGTTCTCAAATCATTTCTAGAATTGCTTTCAGGATCTGTGAGATAATCTTCTGAATGCTCTCAGTGGTGACTCTTGAAGGTGGATTTGATTTTGAAAAACAAGCAAGAGTCCTTCTGGGTCAACTCTAGCTAACTAGGGGGACCAGCAAAACTGTGGAATGCCAAGACGACTGACACCAAAGTACAAAGGCTGATGTTTCTTGGGGGAACTGGACTCACCCAAGACCAACTCCAGACATGCAGTGAATATGTTATAAGCATGACATCAAGGAGTGAGGTGACTGCTCTGAAGTAAACACACAAGCTTTCTTTTCATGTCGTTAGGCAAGTTTTCTAGTGGTTCCCTTTACCAGACTATTTCCTCAGGTCTGGATCTATCCTACCTCATGGGACCACAGTTCCAAGAAGTACAAGGACCTCATTGCCTTCCTCAATTTTTAATCTCCCACGTGGGTACTTGATATGCAGAGTGAATAGCTGATGGAAAATTCAATAGGGGGGAAGAATGTCTAAGGTGTTTGGGGTTTATTCTATGTGATTCAAAGGATATAACGAGGATCCAGAGAGAAGCTTAGGAGAAATATAAGTTTCTACTCCAATGTAAGACATTGTCAGCAGCGGAGCTGTCCAGCAGTGGATTGGGTTTGTAGATACTCAACTGAATGGAAACTGAGCTTCCAGCCCTGGGAGTTTAAAACAAAGGCTACTTGCTATGGGAACTTGTAAATGGGTGGGAAGCTATAAGCAATGATCTCCAAGGACTATTTTCCAAAGTCCATCCTGCACAATACCTGACAAGCGATAGGCCCTGAAAAAAAAAAACCACTGGAATGAAATGAATGAGAACTATGGGGCACCTTGTGAGCCAAGCCAAGGAGAAGATGCTTGGAGCTCAGTCATCGGCAGGGAAGGTAGGGAGAAGGGACATGGAAAGGGCCAGTGCGCCATGAGGTGGGGTATAGTTGGAGTTTTTGGTACCACGGAAGACCTGCTCTGGGTGCCGGAAGCCTCCATGTTTAGGAAAGGAGAGTACTTTTTTTGGAGGTGGTAGAGTTGAGAAAGGAGATAAGACCACTGCTCACCCTTCTTAAACTCCTCCAGCACCGTGTCCAGCCGAGTATCGTTGAAGACGCAGTGCAGGGGCCGGTTGTAGAAGCGGGTGACGGTGAGGAGTGGGGTGCAGTCGTCGGGGTCCACGAAGGCCAAGTCCTTGACGAACAGGATGTCCACGATGTTGTGCCGCTGGTCGCCCTCGTACACGGGGATGCGGGTGTAGCCGCTGCGCAGGATCTCGGACACGGTGGAGAAGTCCAGCACGGCGTCGGAGCGCAGCATGAAGCAGTCCCCCAGCGGGGTCAGGACCTCCTCCACCACCTTGGTGCGCAGCTCCAGGGCGCCCTGGATGATGTTGAGCTCCTCCTTCACCAGGTCGTTGTAGGGGTCCGCGGCCCGCAGCGTCTCCAGCAGCTTCTCCCGCGTGTAGAACGTGCTGATCTCCTGGCGCAGCGCCCAGTCCAGCAGGCGGCCCAGCGGGTAGCACACGGGGAACGCGGCCGCCATCAGGAGCCGGGTCAGGCACACGCTGTGCGAGGCGATGGCCAGCCCGTGCCGCGAGCACACGGAATAGGGGCAGATCTCCGCGCCCAGGAACACGGCGCCGGTGCATACGAGCGCCGGCAGCCACGGGAAGTGAATCCCGGCCTCGCCGCCGTAGTCGTCCTCTTCTCCCCCGGGGCCCCCGACGCCCGGCGGCAGCGAGGTGTACAGCCAGCCGGCCAGCACCGCGTTGGCGCCGGCCTGGCCCAGGAGCAGCGTGCAGAGCAGATGCGTGCCCCGGCCCCGCACCGCCTGCACGCGGCGCGCCTGCTCCTGCTCGGTGGCCGAGCCGCTGTTCCGCAGCACCCGCAGCTCGATGGGGTCCAGCGACAGCAGGCTCAGGCGCAGGCCGCTGAACAGGGCGGACAGCGCGAGCAGCAGCAGCGCCCCGAGCGCGCGCAGCCACGCGGGGGGCAGCAGGCCCTCGCCGGGGCCGTAGAGCCGCGGGCGGACGCGCAGCAGGAAGCCGCCGGCGGCGCCGTGGTGGTGCCAGGCGCGCCCGTCCCAGGCGCACAGCGAGAAGAGTTTCCCGCCGCCCGCGCCGCCCCGCGCCGCCTCCCCCTTGCGCAGCTCCCGCACCCGCACCTGCACCAGGGCCGAGCCGGCCGCGCCTCCGGGGCGCAGGGGCCCCAGCACCTCCACGTCCGACGCCCAGTCGCTCTGCTCGCGGCAGCGCTGCGGCCCCGGCGGGCGCGTGGGGACGGCGCTGGGCGCCACGCCGCTCCCGCCCGGCGGCTCCTCGATGAACACGAGCCGCGGGGCCAGGTCGCCCGTGCCGTTCGCCCCCGAGGAGAGGGTGGGTGCGGGCGCCAGCGCCGCCGCGGGGGCTGCGGGCCCCGGCTGGAAATAGACCCGCAGGAGGAAGCTGGTGCCTTCTGCCGCGCGGAGGGTGCCCCCCTCCAGGGACACGCGGCCTCCGGCGGTGTCCTCGGGCCTCAGGCCCAGCAGCCAGGCGGCGGCGGCGGGGGGCCGAGGGGACAGGGAGAAGAAGAGCAGGAGCACAGCGCCCCGGCTGCAGCAGTCCCGGAGTCTGACACCCACGGCGGCTGCCGCTGCCGCCATCCTGCACCCGGCGCGGCTGCACGTGATACTGCAGAGAGAAGAGCGAGAGCCGGAGGGAGGAGGAGCCAGCCAGCCTGGAACCGGGCCCGGGCAGGTCACCACGTGCACGCTCCCTGCGCGCGTGGGCTGGAGGCGGTGGGGGTTTGGACCCTGTCAGGGCAGGATGTCCCAGCAGGAGGCTGGAAGTGGCCACGCATCCCTGCACGGTGCATAACCCTGATGCACTCTGGTGTATCTGAACTGCAGCCTGCAAAGCTTGGCTTGGAGCAGGCCTCCTACTGAAGCTGTAGGCAGCACCTTAGCGAACGCCTACCCTACCCGGCAGTTATTCCCTGCTGGCCCCTCTGATTCCCCATTGGCCAGGGAAATTTCCCATCATTTTGCTTCTCCTGCTGCTAGCATTCCCCCTTCTAGTAAAAACATATTCCTGGAGGCAAGTCTTGAATCTGTAAAACTTTATGTTTGGTCTCAACTCCAGCTGATCATTAATGTTTAAAATTTTCTAAATTACTTACATTCAGTTCTTTCTTAAGACTAGGATGCCCATCAGTAAGAAACTGCTGAAATAAGTAATGATGCTACTGTGTGATGGACTACTATGCAGTAGGAAAAAAGAATAACATGGATCCATGTGATTGTGATATGGAAAAGTCTCTAAAGCAAGAGTTAGTTGAAAAATGGCAAGGTGAAGAGCGATGTGTATAATATGCTACTGTTTGTGTTAAAAGTATTTGGGTATAAACTTATATGTACACATAAACATATAAGATTTAATATACAGAGGGTATAAAAGAAAATTGTAATAATATTCACCTCTGGGGAGTGGGGAACAGGAGTAGAATTTGGAAGGGGAACAGGAGTAGAATTTACAACACACACAGCAAGTTGCAAAGATAAAGCAGAGATTCTAAGTACTCTTTACCTAGTTTCCTCCAATGGTTATATCTTAACTATAGCATAACTAGAGGCAGAGTGCATGAATTCATGCATGGGTGGGGTCCGGCAGCCCACCCCGATGGGGGCCCATAGGGCCGGCTGTTGGAGGGGGGAGGAAAGCGGGACGGGCCATGGGAGGTTGGTCCCATCCTCAATCGGGGTATTGGGGGTCTAATGGGTGCGGGGCCGGTGGGGGTGGAGGGAGTGGGGGGTGGGGAGTATTCGGCCTGGTTGGCTGCCACAGTGTGCGTTATAGCCACTAGTTGTTCCTGTCGTTTTGGTAGTTGCCTCGTTCCATTGTTGGGCTTTTATACATATAGATACCAAAAGCAGGAAGTTGATATAATGTGTGTATTATTCTATGTCATTTTATCACACACGTGGATTTATATAACTATCACTGCAATCAAAATACAGAACCATTATTCTATCACCGCAAAGATCTGATAGGGAGACTTTTTGCTGAATTCCTGTGTATTGTTTGAATGTACCATAGGCTTGGGACTTTATTTTTATGCATTTATTTTTAAGTTTTATGTAGTAAAATTCACTTTTTGGCTTATGTTCTATAATTTTGACAAGCACATATTCATATAACCATCATAATCAAGAATAATGCCATAACCCCCCACTATTTCCTCTCACAGTCTCTTTGCAGTCAACTCTCCCTCATTCCATCTTTTGGCTACTACTGAGTTGTTCTCCACTATAGTTTTCCTTTTACAGAATGTCGTATATTGGAATAATATGAAAAGTTCCCTATGCAGCTTTTTGGATCTGGTTTCCTTAGTTAGCATAATGCATTTGAGAGTCATCTATGTTGTTGTGTTAAATAAGAGCTCATTCCTTTTTGTAGCTGGATAGTATCCCATTATATGGGTGTATCACAGGTTGTTTATCTACTTATCCCTTAAGGAACATTTATTTCCAGTTTTACGTATAAAGCACCACAAAGATCTATAAATGTTCATGTGCAGGTTTTTGTGTGAACATACATTTTCATTTCTCTTGTGTGAAATTACCATAGATGTGTATTACTTTTTATTTTATTTAAAAATATTTTTTATTGATTTCAGAGAGGGAGAGGGAGAGAGAGATAGAAACATCAATGATGGGAGAGAAACATTGATCGGCTGCCTCCTGCACTGGGGATCAAGCTTGCAACCCCGATATATGACCTGACAGGGAATCATACCATGACCTCCCAGTTCCTAGGCTGACGCTTAACCACTGAGCCATGCCAGCTGGGCTGGTACCTCTTAATAATTTTTAAAAAATCATTGCTTTGTTTGAAATGTTATTTTCCATAGAATGTGTGGGACCCTGAAATATTGAGTAAGAAAGCTTTACAGAGGATACAAATGATCAATACAAATGATCCCAGTTAAAAGTTATCTTTTGTCGAAACCGGTATGGCTCAGTGGTAGAGTGTCGGTCTGCGGACTGAAAGGTCCTGGGTTCGATTCCGGTCAAGGGCATGTACCTTGGTTGCGGGCACATCCCCGGTAGGGGGTGTGCAAGAGGCAGCTGGTCGATGTTTCTCTCTCATCGACGTTTCTGGCTCTCTATCTCTCTCCCTTCCTCTCTGTAGAAAATCAATAAAAATATATTTTTAAAAAAGTTATCTCCTTAGAGATCAACCAAAGGACTTGTATGCATGCATATAAGCCTAAGCAGTGGTCAAGGACAACAGGGGGGTGGGGGCATACGTGGGGAGGGGTTTAGGGTGAGATGGGGGGGGGGGGTGAGGACAATTATGCTATACCATATTCAATTAAAAAAAGTTATCTCCTTTTCATAATAAACTCTAATTATCCAGAGTGGGAATAGCCCCTTTCTGCTTTGGGACTAGACAGGCTTTAGTAGGCTGTTGTTCACATTGCTACACAGGTTTTCTTGTCACTCTGCAGGGAATGTGAAACAAACCTGCATTGCTTTAAAGTACATTAGATCCTGTCCATGCACTACAAGCTGTGTCTGGCATGGGCTGCTTAAGAGATAGCTGGATGATTTAATCTGAAGGGGGAACATTGGGGCATTTATTGGATGTATAGAGGAACAGGAGAAGTGGGGTCAGGCATGTGATTGTATCCCTTAAGTATAAAAACTCTCACTTTTCTCTTGACAGTTTGATCTCTCTCCTCTCTCAACCTAAAGCTTCTCAGTACAAAACTATGTTATCCTAAGGGTTCTCCCACCTCTTTTAGGCCAGAGGACTTTATCATCATTATAATACCACCTAAGAGTTAGAGTTACAAAGGAATTTTGTATTTTTTATTTCATTCACACAATAGCCTTGTGAAGTAGAAATAATTATCCTCATTTTACAGATTAGATTAAATGAGCAGTAAGACATCTTTGGACTCTAGTTTGATGCTATCTCACCCTGCAGTCTTGACTAATGTCAAAATAAAACCTTTCAAAAATATTAGGTCAGGAATTTAAAACCTAAATTTCTGATGATAAAGAATTACATGCTCATTGAAGATAGATTTTTAATGTAAAAAAAATAAGTATAAAAAAACTATAACATGACCAACCTGAAATATACACTGTTAATATTATAGCACATTTTAAAATTTCTCTGTATAGACAGATAACTGAGAAATACACATACATACCTATATATTTTATATTTAAATATATATTATACATACAATTCTAGTCTGCTTTTGTCACTTAATATATTAAGAGAATTTTTCATAATAAAACTTATTTCATAAAGTTAGTTTTTAATGAGTGGTACTATTACACATATATGTATAATACTGAGAGAGAGAGAACTGTAAGAATGATTCTATTTCCAATTGCACCAGCTTGATTATTAGCAAGTGTTAAGCTTTGGAAAGTCAGCCCATTTCCTCATCTATGAAATGAAAAACCATTTCAGGATCCCTCCCCTTTCACGAGTCAGTGTCTGAGGGCTAATGTACACTGGGTGAGGATAATCCAGAGAGACTGAGTACTTTTCCTTTACGGAACAGGAGGGTCTGGAAAAGTACTGGGTTTCCAGTGTTCTACTGTAACTGGAAGGATTCCTGAAACAGGTTCAGACAGTGTGATTCTAGTAAGGAAGAGCTGTCAAATAGCTCCTCAGAATCTGAATGTTGACTGTCTTCCTATCTTACAAAATGGGCAACTCCTCACTTTTCAGACAGATGGAAGTATGCTACTTGCCTTTATCCCATGATTATAATATTTTAGAATGCATATGTTAAAATGCTTTTTTAAATTAGTTGTTTACTGATTCAACAAGTATTTGTTAGGCACAAAGTACTCGGCCCTGTGCTAAATATTGGGTAAAGACAGATGCCATCCTTGCCTTCATGGAGCCTAGATTCTACTGAGGATGACAGAGATGGACTAGAAGTTGCTTACCTACCTAATTAATTTATTACTCCTATGAAAAAGCTGTTCAAAGTGTCATTCATTTAGAGAGGAAGGTCTGGAAAGACTAAAACCCAAAATTAAATTTAATAAAAATGGAAGAATTTATACATTAGGAAGAAGATAAAAAATTTAATATTTTGTTCCATTCCTTTTCTACTACTTTTAAAATTATGACAATGTATTAATAATATTCCTACTATACCCCATTAGCATTTATTGCATGCTTACTTTGTGCCAGATACTAGTACATTACCTCTTTTAATCCTCACAATAGATGAGAAAACTGTGGCTTTAACTGGGTAAGCCTGTGAAAGTCACATCACTAATGGGTAGTGGGGCCTAACCATACAGACAGTCTGAGTCCAGAGTCTACAGTTTAAAAAGTTAGAAAAATAAAAATACCAGATAACCCTTAGATAAGGTTTACTATATCAGACATAAATTAACTCATTTAATTCTCATAAGCACCTTTGGAAATAGGTATTGTGAACATTTCCATTTTAATTGAGGAAGCTAAGCTACAGAGAAATTAAGTATGTTGCTGGATTATACAATCAGTGGCAGAAACACTGCCACTACACTGCACTACTTTACAGCTATCTGTCAAACCTTTGCCCATTTATATATATGGTCCTATATAGTTGCACTTCTAACATTTCTACAATCGTAATATTGCTTCCTTTCATTCCTCATTATAGTGTAATTATTTTCCCTTATTAAAACTATAAACATTTTTTTCCCTTTCCTCTCTTTATACTAAATTGGGTGGAATAGGGTTAAAGTTTTGGGCTAGCATTTAAAATACATCTGCTCTTTTTATGGGACATATATTCAAGCATCTTCATATCTGAAAACACTAATATTGTTATTGTTTGTTGGTT